TGCTGCTGCTGCTGTGGGCGGCGGCGCTGCCGGCCGGGGGCCAGCCGCCGGCGCCGCAGTACAACGGCGAGCGGGGCATCTCCATCCCGGACCACGGCTACTGCCAGCCCATCTCCATCCCGCTGTGCACCGACATCGCCTACAACCAGACCATCATGCCCAACCTGCTGGGCCACACCAACCAGGAGGACGCGGGGCTGGAGGTGCACCAGTTCTACCCGCTGGTGAAGGTGCAGTGCTCGGCCGAGCTCAAGTTCTTCCTCTGCTCCATGTACGCCCCGGTGTGCACCGTGCTGGAGCAGGCCCTGCCGCCCTGCCGCTCCCTCTGCGAGCGGGCCCGCCAGGGCTGCGAGGCCCTCATGAACAAGTTCGGCTTCCAGTGGCCCGACACGCTGCGCTGCGAGAAGTTCCCGGTGCACGGGGCCGGCGAGCTCTGCGTGGGGCAAAACGCCTCCGAGCGCGGCACCCCCACGCCCGCCCTGCGCCCCGAGAGCTGGACCAGCAACCCCCACCGTGGGGGCGGCGGCGCCGGCGCCGGGGGCTCGGGGCCCGGCGAGCCCCGCGGGCGCTTCTCCTGCCCGCGGGCGCTGAAGGTGCCCTCCTACCTGAACTACCGCTTCCTGGGGGAGAAGGACTGCGGGGCGCCCTGCGAGCCCGGCCGCCTCTACGGGCTCATGTACTTCGGGCCCGAGGAGCTGCGCTTCTCCCGCACCTGGATCGGCATCTGGTCGGTGCTCTGCTGCGCCTCCACCCTCTTCACCGTCCTCACCTACCTGGTGGACATGAAGCGGTTCAGCTACCCCGAGCGGCCCATCATCTTCCTCTCGGGCTGCTACACGGCGGTGGCCGTGGCCTACATCGCCGGCTTCCTCCTGGAGGAGAGGGTGGTCTGCAACGAGCGCTTCGCCGAGGACGGCTCCCGCACCGTGGCGCAGGGCACGAAGCGGGAGGGCTGCACCATCCTCTTCATGATGCTCTACTTCTTCGGCATGGCCAGCTCCATCTGGTGGGTCATCCTCTCGCTCACCTGGTTCCTCGCTGCCGGCATGAAGTGGGGCCACGAGGCCATCGAGGCCAACTCCCAGTACTTCCACCTGGCCGCCTGGGCCGTGCCGGCCATCAAGACCATCACCATCCTGGCCCTGGGGCAGGTGGATGGGGACGTCCTTAGTGGCGTCTGCTTTGTGGGCATCAACAACGTGGACGCTCTGCGGGGCTTCGTGCTGGCCCCCTTGTTCGTCTACCTGTTCATCGGCACCTCCTTCCTGCTGGCCGGCTTCGTGTCCCTCTTCAGGATCCGGACCATCATGAAGCACGACGGCACCAAGACGGAGAAGCTGGAGAAGCTCATGGTGAGGATAGGCATCTTCAGCGTCCTCTACACGGTGCCGGCCACCATCGTCATTGCCTGCTATTTTTACGAGCAAGCTTTTAGGGAACAGTGGGAGAGGAGCTGGGTCACGCAGAGCTGTAAGAGCTATGCCATCCCCTGCCCCAACAACCACAGCAGCCACCACCCGCCCATGAGCCCCGACTTCACCGTCTTCATGATCAAGTATCTCATGACCTTAATCGTGGGCATCACTTCGGGCTTCTGGATCTGGTCTGGGAAAACCCTGAACTCCTGGAGGAAGTTTTACACCCGGCTCACCAACAGCAAGCAGGGCGAGACCACCGTCTGAGACCCCTGTCCGCCGGGCTGGGGGGATGGCGGCCGGCTGGGGGACCGGGGCTCTGCCTCGGGAGGCAGCTGCTAATCCAGCCCGGGCAAACTTTGGGGGATGGCGAGTCGCTTCCGCGGGCGGCGAGGAGCAGAGGACGAGCCAGGTGGGGACCCCGGCGCCTGGGACCGCCGGCTCTGCCCTCCCCGCTCCTCTCGGGCCGTCTCCTGTCGGAACTGAGCGCGCTGTCGGGTTGGGGGAGAGGGATGTAAATAGCCTGTGTAAGATTTTGTAAGTATATTTGTATTTAAATTACAAAAATCTCACTTTTTTAATTATTTAGGACACTTTTAGCCCGTTTGCGGATTTTGCTTCCTCGCCCCCCCTTTTTTAATTTAAAAAAAAAAAAAAGGGCGTTGGATTTTTTATTTCGTAGGGCAGGATGGGAAAAACCGCCGGTAAGAGAAACCCAACCAAACCCCTTTCTTCTCCCCCACGCAGGTTTTGTAATGGCTTTGCTGGGAGTTTCAGTTGCGTGAGCAGCGGGGCCCGGAGCGAGGCTGCTGCCGCGGCCGGGGGCGCCTCCTGACGCGGGCTGGGCCCCGGGCCCCGGGCCCCGGGCCCCGCGCCCGGCCTGCCAGAGGTATGTGGCGGTAGAGGTGGGGTTGGGGAG